AGTCTACCTATCCATGAGCAAGGTATGTTTTTCCACTTATGCAGGTCTCTTTTGGTTTCTTGCAGTAGTGTCTTGTAGTTTTCATTGTATAGCTCTTTTATATCTTTGGTTAGATTTATTTTACCTTCTTGGGGGCTATTATAAATGGTATTGATTTGGTAATTTCCTCTTCGAGGTTCTCTTTGTTGGTGTAAAGGAATCCAACTGATTTTTGTGTGTTTATTTTGTATCCTGAAACTTTGCTGAAATCTTCTTTTAGTTCCAGTAGTTTTCTTGTGGATTCTTTGGGGTTTTCTGTGTATAAGATCATAACATCTGCTAATAGAGATACTTTGACTTCTTCCCTACCAATTTGGATGCCCTTTATTTCTTTTTCTATCCTAATTGCTCTGGCTAGGACCTCAAGAATAATGTTCAATAAGAGTGGTGATAGAGGGCATCCTTGTCTGGTTCTGAACAGGGAAATTCTTAAGAAGCAGCAATGGTGGCTAGAGGAAGAACCAGATATGAAGAGGAAATGGGGGTGGTGAATGTTGCTCAGTGGCGATTTCTGGGGACTTGGCCCAGGAAGAACAGGTGCTGTCTCCCTGTCTCACCAAACAGGCTTTCCTGAGGATCAGTGGGGTCCAGTGAATGCTTGCAAGGAATCTGTTAACTGTCACCTGTTCTAGGCCTGCACCGCCCCAGCTTCTTCTTCTCTGAGCAGAGAAGAACAGATGGGAATGGCTTTTGAGTTTTTGCAGGCTTTTGCCTCCCCGCCCCCCTATTTAATCCCAGACCCCTGGATGAAGGACCAGGCAGCAGCAGAAAGCCCCGCGGGGACCGCAGAGCAGGACCCAGGACCCTGCGCACTGGTGCCCCCTGCTGACCTGTCTGCAGACAGCCAGATGTGTGAGGGCCAACGCAGAGGGTGAGGGCAGCTGACCATCGCTGAGCGAGCCTGCCCAGGGGGGCCCCCCCCGGCACTAGACCAGGGCCCCCACTGACGGGTCAGGGCTCCCAACCTGGACCCGGGCCCCCAGATCTTCCCCAGAGACCCCACCTCCTCGCTTCTTCATACAGATGTACCCCTACTCAGCAACGTTTCACCACGTGGCAATACTTGATAAATGTCTACTGAGTGAATGAAAGGTCTCTCGCATTCTTCGAAGCTCAAGGCACGAGTCAGGCACAGGTGACCTCAAACTCAAGGTCACCCTCACCCTTGGGGCCTTATCTGATTTTGTGCCTGATAAGGACACACAATGACACTCATTGCTGTGCATCTGCCTGGAGCATCGAGTTCTCAGGTAAGCATTAGCTTGCTGGTAAAACCTTCACTGATTACATGCTTCTGTGCCCCAAACCCACACTAGGAAATGGACAAAAATCTGCTTTGGTACTTTTATCACCTCTGTAGGGGGTGTTACTCCCATTTTACAGACCAGAAAGCTGAGGCTCAGGCAGTTAAGAAACTTATTTATACACAGGCTTAAGACCCCAGAGCCCATGTGCTTTCCAGTATTGTCTTTTCTACTCAGTGGGATCTGTGGACCAGCAGGTTCCACATCAGCATCACCAGGAGCTTGCTAAAATGTAGACTCTCAGGCCCACCTCAGACCTGCTGAATCAGAGCCTGCACTTTAACAATACCCCTGGTGACTCGTGTACATATTAAAATCTGAGAGTCACCATCCCACGCTTTCTCCCATCTCCAGAGGCAGGATTGCGGGAGAGATTTCGTGCCTGGAGCAGGAGGGTCTCCTGGGTATCCATTCTTACTATTTAGCCTTGAAATTGCAAACTTGGTTTCCCATCTTCCCTGTCCCGCCTTTGAAACATGTTATAATTGAACACATGAGAATAATGTGGGGTGTGTAGTTTACAGTTTCTGTCCTCTGGTTTGCCACCACCACCTTCAGGTGGGTGACCCAGGAGCCACTAAGCCCCACAACCCACCTGATAGAAATCCAGAAATAGGAATGAAGATTTCACAATGTTAGTTAACAGAAACTGCATAGGAAGAGTTCCTTTCATAAATGAGGGCTGGCAGTCCAGGAGAGCCAGGGTTCCAGGTATGGATGTGGGGACCTTCGGCCAGCCCTCGTTATGGGGGCTCTTCATCCAAAGCTCCCTACTAAATAGGGTCCCCGCTGCCCATATGCACGCCATCAGACACATTTCTGCCACGAGGCTCAGCTGTGAATATGATTCACATAGTCACAATAATGAAAACAGTAAATACCGATTTAACCAGATAGGGAAGATGGGGTGCTAATTATTGGTTGGAGGTGGAAGAGAATTCCTTATTTCTACTTAGTAGGTAATCATTAGATGACCTCTGAAATGAACAAAATAGAAATAATATAAGCACGTTCTTTAGAAACATGGAGAAAAAGAAAAGATTTGAAAGAAGCTGCCTTAGCTGAGCAGGAGACTGGGGGTGGGGGTAGGGTAGAGGCCTGCTAATTGCATTTTTTTAACCATGTAGATGTGATACTTTGATTATGTTGTTGTTGTTGAGTGCTGTCCAGTCAATTCTGACTCATATCAATTCCACGTGACAGAGTAGAAATGCTCCATAGGGTTTTCTAGGCTGTAATCTTTACAGAAGCAGATCACCAGGTCTTTCTCCCAAGGAGCTGCTGGATGACTTCGCACCACCAACCTTGCAGTTACCAGCTGAGCTCTTAACCTTTTCACCACTAGGGCTCCTTGCTTTGATCATAAATAATGATAAAATTTACCCAGATAATATAGGTAAAGCACCTAGCACAGTGCCTGATACAACACAAAAACTTAATACAGTTTGTGTGCTCCTTTTCATCATTGCCACTGCAGAATATAAATTACCTAGGTTCACTGTGCCCTGTAGTTCAATCCTTTCCTCCTAGCTGTGAGTGCTGCCTAAAGCAATCCACCATGTCTTCAAAAGAAGTGGTGTTACATGGAACAGAAAACTGATTGTAAGAGAAATTTAAAATAATCACCATCTTGAGTGGCGTCTGGGGTCTTAAAGGTGTGCAAGCGGCCATCTAAGATGTATCTGTTGGTCCCAAATACCTGGAGTAAAGGAGAATGAAGAACACCAAAGACACAAGGAAAGTAGTAGTCCAAGAGACAGAAAGGGCCACGTAAACCAGAGAATTCATCAGCCTGAGACCAGAAGAACTAGATGGTGCCCAGCTACCACCAAATGACCACCCTGACGGGGAACACAACAGAGAGTCCCGGATGGAGCAGGAGAAAGGTGGGGTGCAGAACTCAAATTCTAGAGACCAGACTTAATGGTCTGACTGAGACTGGAGGAACCCCGGAAAGCATGGCCCCTGGATTCTCTATCAGCCCAGAACTAAAACAATTTCCGAGGCCAACTCTTCAGACAGGGATTGGACTGGACTGTGGGACATAAAGTGATACTCGCGAGGAGTGTGCCTCTTAGCTCAAGTAGATACAAGAGACTAAGCAGGCAACTTCTGTCCAGAGGTGAGATGGGAAGGGAGAGAGTGTTAGGAGCTGGTTGAATAGACATGGGGAATCAGGGATGGAAAGGAGGAGTGTGCTGTCACAGTATGTGGAGAGCAATTAGGGTCACATAACAATGTATGTATAAATTTTTGTATGGGAAAAAATTTAAAAAATTTTTAAAAAAGGGTGGAAGTAAAAAAAATAGTGACACTAATCTGTGATTTTCCGGTGTAAAAAAAGTCACCATCTGAGACACAAATTTAAGTAACAGTGAGAGACCGTTTTCCCCCTTAAGACTGACAATCCATTGGCAAGGCGTGGGCATGCTCCCACACCTCGGTGATGGGAGCATTAACAGTTGATTACATCTACAGAGGGCAACTTTCCACCACTACCAAGATCACTGAATGCATATACGACGTAGCCCACCAATTCCACTTTCAGGAAATTTTCCTACAGAAATACCCACAGTTACACAAAATATATGGAAAAGCATGTTTATAGTATCAAAACATTGCTAATAACCTAATTGTCCATCATCAAGGGACAGGTCGAGTAAGCTGTGGTGTTTCCTAATGGCAAAACGAGGGAGCGCTTTTTCCCACTAAATTGGATGGTCTCCAAGAAACACCTAAGTGGAAAAGAAAAGTAGGAAAAACCTATTTGCTGGTATTATGCATAAAATGTTGATGGAAAGACACATAAAGAATTGGTAACAATAATCGCTTCTGGGGAACAGAACTGGGTGACCGCCCAGGGTGGGAGCCTTCCTACCACATACTCTTCTGAAATCTTATTCATTGTAAAGCTAAAAATAAATTTTAAAAAGTGATGAGGCTGAAAAAGTCTATCTCTGATGCATTTAATTCATTAGCAGGGGAGCCCTGGCCCGCACTGGTTGTTGGCCCCGGCGGGCGTGGCGGGAACTTGAGGTGTGAGGGAACCCCTAGGTTAAGTGCGCCAGGGAGGCCTCAGGCGGCGAGGAAGTCCCCTGGCTGCGAGCCCCGAGAGCCCAGGCAGCCGGTCCTGCTGCACCCGGAGCCGCTCACACCCCGGAACCGGGGTACCCCCGCCGTTGGACTAGCGATCACCTAAACCCAGCGCACCGGAACTCGTCCTGCGCGTGCGCAGAAGCAGTGCGCCCGTCGGCGAAGGGCGGGCCCAGAGTCGGCGGCCCATCGTCCGATGCGGCCCATTGGCTGAGAGGTGGAGCGTGGACCAGGCACACCGCTGATTGGACCCCGCGCGGGTAGCTGGGGCCCACTGTCCAATCGCGGCGCGGCGCGGCACGTGAGGCGAGGCGCCTGGGGGCCACGGTTACCGTGCAGCTGCTGTCTCCGGCACACAGTGCACGGCCATGGCGTCCGAGGAGCCGCTCGTGATCGTCACCTCCACCGCGCCCGTCAACATCGCCGTCATCAAGTACTGTAAGTAGCGGGGCCGTGCAGACGTCTGTCGGAGGCCAGGAACGCCCCGAGGAGGCAGGCAGTGGGCGATCGGGGCCCTGAGCCTCCCCGGCGCCCACTCACTGAGGGTCGGCCATGTGCGTCACTGAGCAGAGTGTGCGGGGGAGAAGGGGCTGACGGCCCAGAGGGTGGGGGCCGAGGTCAGCTCGTTCATTCGCTCCCCCTGCGTGTGGGTGGGGGCCAGGTGGCTGACGGACAGGTGGGTGGGGGCTGGGGTTAGCCTGTCCATTCACTCACCCTACAGGTGGACCAGGGCCAGGTGGGTGGGGGCCAGATGGTTGGTGGTCGGGGTCAGCCCGTCCATTCACTCACTCAATAGGTGTGAGGGAGCCCGATGAGTGGGAGTCAGGGCCAGGTGGGTGGGGGCCAAGTGGGTGACAGCTGGGTGTGTGGGGGCTGGGGTCAGCCCGTTTATTCACTCACCCTACAGGTGGGTGGCATAGTGGTTAAGAGCTACAGCTGCTAACCAAAAGGTCGGCAGTTCGAATCCACCAGACGCTCCTTGGAAACTGTGCGGGGCAGTTCTACTCTGTACTATAGGGTCGCTATGAGTCGGAATCGACTCAACCGCAACGGGGTATACAGGTGGGTGGGGGCTTGGCTGGAACAGGGTGGGTTGCACAGAGATGCATGGGAAATCCGGTGTGGGAGTGCCGTGGCCTGGAGGCTGGTGGTGCCATGCACCATTATTGCGAGGAGTAATAACAACGTTCGCTATTTGTGGACGGCTTTTTGTGAGCTTGGCCAAATGTTACTTTTCACATCATCGTGTCCTTTAACCCCCCAGGGACCCTGTACATCCAGTCCTCTTAGCCTCCCATTTACAGGTGAGGAAACTGAGGTTTGGAGCAGTTGAGTCACCTGATCTGGCATGCACCCAGAGGCAGTGGTGCCAGGTGTCAAGCCCAGGCTGTGCCATCGCTCCACTCTTGGGAGACAGGGGGGTTGGGGAATCAGTTCTGGACACGCTGACTGGGAGGTCAGTCAGCCTGTTTCCTTCTCTGAGCAGCGTCCGTAGATAGCTGGCAGTGCCTGAGACTGACTTTCCCTTGTCCCTCTGCCCATCTGGGCCAGTCCTCATTCCAGGAGGATAGGTTGGGGTGGATCTTGCTCAATACCACCTGCTCCCACTGGTAAGCTGCCCATATCACCTGAGATATCACCCTGGGCCCCTGGCCCTTTTTTTTTTTTTTTTTAATTTGGCTTTGTATTCTGGCATAATTGGAATTCACGTACAGTTGTAAGAAATAATCCTCTGTACCTTCATCCAAGTTTCCCCCAGTGGAAAAACCAAAAAACCACACCTGTTTCCGTCAAGTCAGTTCCGACTCTTAGACCCTATAGGACAGAGTAGAACTGTCCCATAGAGTTTCCAAGGAGCGGCTGGTGGATTCAAACTAAAATTGTAGTACAATATGGCAACCAAAATATTGACATTGATGCAGCCAAAATACAGAACATTCCATCAATATAAGCATCGCTAAGGTCCTTGGGTATGCAAATAGTTTGCACTTGACTACTAAAAGGTTGGTGGTTCAAACCCACCCAGCAGCACTGTGGAAGAAAGGCCTGGCGATCTGCTTCCATAAAGATTACAGCCAAGAAAACCCTGTGGGGCAATTCTACTCTGTAACATGCATGGGATCACCAAACATCAGAGTCAGCTCAACAGCCTTAAGGGCAAAGTGTGATCTGCCTGCCTCAGGAGGAGGACTTAGATGTCAGTGTGAGAAGGGAGGGAGCCAGCTGTGGGGAATGAGGTGCTGGTGGGCTGGAAGACCGACGGGCCCTGCCTTTGGTTGTCTGCTCCAGGGGGAAAGCGTGATGAGGAGCTGGTCCTGCCCCTTAACTCCTCCCTGAGTGTCACCCTGCACCAGGACCAGGTGAGCGTGGGCAGGGACAGCGCCACATGGATATGTGTGAAACTGCTCTCAGCAGCTGATGGGGTGAGGGGCTCAGCAGTGAATACTGTCCAAACCAACCACAGTATTATCACCACTGTGGCAATGCTCCACATGCACACATGTGCACACCCCGGAGTCTGAGGTCTTATCACACACACACATATACACCATTACGCACATATATACATACATGCCCCAGGGTCTCATCTCACACATGCAGCACTCACATGTATACACCAATAGACACATGCACACACATATATACCATTATACTATACACCCATGCCCTGGGGTCTCATCTCACAATGCAGTACACACATGTACACACCAGTACGCACACACACCCCATTATACACATACACACTTGCCCTGGGGTCTCATCTAACACCTAGCACACACATGCGCCCCGGGGTCCCCTGGGAATGCCTGGCCCTCCATGTAGAACTTGGCTGTGCTGTGGCAGATGGAGGCTGTGAACAGCTATCAGAACCAACCCTACCCCCACCCACCCTGCCTCGACTTCCCCATCCTCCAACCAGGGCCGTACCTGCCCCTGAGGCCAACCTGAGGGGCCGTGGGTTGGAAAGTTCTCCTTAGGAGAAAGGGGATGCTGGGCTCCCCTTCAGCCCTGAGGTGACCCTGCTTCCTTTCCAGCTAAAAACCACCACGACCGCTGCCATCAGCAAGGACTTCACAGAGGACCGGATCTGGCTGAATGGCACCGAGGTGGATGTGGGGCAGCCGCGCTTGCAGTCCTGCCTTAGGGAGAGTGAGTCTGCACAGTCACGGCTCCCCCACTTCCCACCCTCACTCTAGGCGAGGGTCCAGTGCTCTGACTCAGTGGCAGCAGTTTATCCTCAGTTTACTCTCCTACCCGGGCTGACAGGACGGTCTGGGGGCTGGGGCTTTCCCAGAGCAGGGACTTGTGTGAAAATCTGGGTGCAGAGGTGCGTGGGTCAGCTGGGCCCCTGCCTCTTCCTGGCCTGGGAGTGGGGCGGCTCTGCCCATCATTGGTTGCTAACAATGTCCCTGTCCTGGCCTGCAGTCCGCCGCCTGGCCCGGAAGCGCAGGAGCACAGATGACGGGGACGCACCACCTCTCAGCCTCAGCTACAAAGTACACATCGCGTCAGAGAACAACTTCCCCACGGCCGCAGGCCTGGCATCCTCTGCCGCAGGCTATGCCTGCCTGGGTGGGTACTGCAGAGATTTGCATATCTGTGCAGCGGCAGAGGATGCTCACAGTGTCCAGGGAGTCCAGGCCAGCCGAGAGCCATCCCCTCCAGGCCTCGTCCCCTCTCAGTTTGCCAATCTCTCTTCAAAGCACATGCCTGAATGTTCAAGTCTTTCAGTAGCCCATGTGCCTACTGAGTTGTAAGTGACAGAGACCTGTCTGTAACTGCTTTAGGCTAAAATGGGTACGATTTCTTGGCTCGTATAACCAAGGAGTCCAAAGGGCACAGCTGGCTTCAGGCACAGCTGGATCTAGGGTCCCAGCAACATTTGAGGAATCTGTCTAAATCTAAACTCTGTCTTCTCTGCCTTGGGCTAACTGTCCAGCAGGGCCCCTTCCTCCCATGTGATGGCAGAGCTGGTCACCAGCACCATGAGACTGGTAGAGAGGGGCTCCTCTCACCCAGTAGCCCCAGCAAAAATCCCAGGATGGCAGTTACTGGCGCAGCTCGTGTCATATGACTGTCCTGGGTGAGCAGGCCTCAGGGTGGGCTCAGCCCCTCTGGGGGCACATGGACCTAGAGGGAGCGGGGAGGAAGTGCTGGCAGAGAGCAAGCATGGTGCACCTGCTTTCCTCAGGCCCCCAGTGCTGCTCCATGCCGAACTGCCTCTGTGCCTCGTCCCCAGGCTCCCTCCCCTCTCTCAAAACCCAGCTCAGGTGTCCCCTTCTCAGAGAAACTCCCTCCAGACCCTTTACAGCTCCATCCCATGGGTCCCCCAAGGGTTTGAGAAGTCCAAGACAGTGAGCCCTGAAGGCCTGGGGCTGTGCTCCAGTCCACTTTGTAGTCCAGAGCAGGTGCTTGATGAGTGGGTGGATGGACAGAAGGAAGGATGGATAGATGTGTGAATGGTGGATAGGTAGGTAGATGGAGGGTGGGTGGATGATAGATGAGTGGGCAGGCAAGTAGATGACTGGTCAGCTCTTAAAGCTGATGGCCAGGCAGTTCAGTGCCAGTGTTTACAGATTGCCCACAGGGGCCGGGGGCCGTGGGGGCATCTGGGTCTGGGCATCTGAACGTGTCCTTGGTTGTGCTGCCCGTGTGGCATCAACTCCTTGGCCGTCTCTGAGTCCCCTGCTTCCTGTGCCCACAGCCTACACCCTGGCGCGAGTCTACGGGGTGGAGGGTGAGCTCTCAGAGGTGGCTCGCCGAGGCTCAGGCAGTGCCTGTCGGAGCTTGTACGGCGGCTTTGTGGAGTGGCACATGGGGGAGCGTGCCGACGGCAAGGACAGCATCGCCCAGCAGGTGGCCCCTGAGTTGCACTGGCCAGAGCTGCGCATCCTCATCCTTGTGGTGAGTGAGCTCGGGTGAGCGCTCAGAGGCAGGATCCACCTGTTGTCCCAGAGGCAGGCGCCTATCACAGCTGCACCGGCCGTTAGACTGCTGGGCGAAGAGAGACCCTCTTGGCGAGCCTCAGGGCTGATCCCAGGCCTGCCGGGCACTGCTGCCCTGGTGAGAGCCAGGAGGTGCCAGCCCAGAGCCATACTGCCTCACTGTGGCCAGGAGCCGGCACTGGTCCCCACCTGATCATCATGGCCCACACCTGTTGCACCCGCCCCAGCTGAGGGAAGGCGTCGTCCTCCCCATGTGCACAGAGCCCCCACCAGGCCTCCCTCAAGCCCCACGGCCGGGTTGTCAGCAAGAGCACAGCTTCCTCTGCCTCTTGCTGCCCTGGCCAGGTGCACGTATATGGAGGGCCAGCCCAGGCAGGCAGTCAGGGTGTGCACCTCGCTTCCTGGCCTTGGCTGACTCAGGGTCATGCAGGAGGTCTGTGCTCCAGCCCTGGTGCCTGAATACCTGGCATCTTCCCTGCTGAGGCTTAGCGCCTCCTGGAGCCAGGGTCGGGGGTAAGTTCAGGGCCCTATGGGGCATGGACACAGGGCACAGGGACTGCCTCTCCCTTGCAGGTGAGCACAGAGAAGAAGCTAATGGGCAGCACAGTGGGCATGCAGACCAGCGTGAAGACCAGTGCGCTGCTCCAGGTGAAGCAGTGGTGGTGGGAGGGCCCACGTGGTGCATGCTGGGCAGCGGGGAGCCAGCGTAGTTGCTGCCTGAGGGGCAGAGTGGGCTCAGGCCCTCTGTCAAGAAGCCCACGCCTTGCTGGAATGTACCTGTCACCCTACAGTTCCGGGTCACATCGGTGGTGCCAGCACGCATGGCTGAGATGATCCGATGCATCCGCGAGCGGGACTTCCCTGGCTTCGGGCAGCTGACCATGAAGGACAGCAACCAGTTCCATGCCACCTGCCTGGACACCTTCCCCCCCATCTCCTACCTCAACGACACCTCCAGGCATATCATGCACCTGGTGCACCGCTTCAACACGCACTACGGGCAGACCAAGGTAACACGGCTGGGCTGCTGCAGGGGGGACACCAAGGACTCCGTCCTCCAACTCCGCTAGCCCCGAAAGCCACCCCAGTGCTGCTCACTGTCTAACTGCGCACCCGGTAAAGAGCATGCTGTAGCCGCAGACATGGTGTACCAGAAACCGGAGGTTCACAGAACACATCCCACCCTCAAAGTGCGCATAGCACGCTGGTGTTTCTACTTGATTCCATTTCTTTTTGCGTAAATGGTCCCTGACTGACGCATTGGTTGAGTGACCTGGCGTGGCTGCAGCACAGTTTGGGCACTGGGTAGAAGGTTTCTTCCCTCTCATGCGTTACTGGGCAGGGGTCCCGTGTCAGAGAAGCAGTGCCACCCCCTCTCCTTGGTCCAGGGGCCTGGGAGCAGCGCAGGTGAGTGCTATATGGACAGACAGGCTGACCGGTGCATTCCAGGTGGCGTACACGTTTGATGCAGGCCCTAACGCTGTGGTCTTCACCTTGGACAACACTGTGGCAGAATTTGTGGCAGCTGTGAGGCACTGCTTCCCCCCGGAGTCGAATGGAGACAAGTGAGTGACAGCCCTGTCCTCCCTTTTTGAAAGAGCAGGGTCTCTTGCCAAGAACAGGGAGCGGGCAGCATCCACAGGCCAGGGTTCAGAGCCAGGTAGGAGTGTACAGGTGGTTGCTTGTGGGGTGTGCCTCCTGGTGGCTGTGATGTGTCAGGGTCCCATGGGGAGGACGTGCCTCTGTGTGCACTTACAAAGGGGCTGCATGGACACCGTGGGCCCAGCAGCCTGGAAGCCTGCACACCTGCCCCTCCCGAGTGGCTGACTTTATCCCACTGTTTATGAGGGGGCACACACGCCTGCTCGCTTAACAGAAAGTGTCCTGCAGCCCTGGGGTTTCCTGCTCACCGTGAGCTGGGCGGGCCCCTGATGCTACCGCCTCCTGTGTGTGGCTGTGTTCCATGGGGCTCCACCCAGCATCCCAGGCACAGCAACATGTGACAGCAGTGACTTTGGTTTCCTGCCTTCCAGCTGTCTCAGTGGTCCCTTGTTCTCAGCGAGGACAATGCTCGCAGGAACCTTGAATCTGCTTCCTGCCTGGCAGTGTGGGAACAGGGGTGGGGGTGCCTTCTGTCTGATAATTGGGGTGGTGTTGCCTTTTAGGGCAAGAGGCTGAGAATATTGGCCTCGTGCATTTTTGCCCTGACTTTGCGGGTCTCCCTGTTCTGAGGAGTGCAGTGATGACCGCAGGTGTCTGAGTGAGGCTCTTCCTCTCATGCCATGTTAGCCCACAGGGCCTGGCACAGCCATGGGCCAGGGTGACCAGAACTCCTGAGGGGGAGGCCCTCAGTGACCTGCCTGTCTCTGCCTAGGTTCCTGAAGGGGCTGCCGGTGAGGCCGGTCCCACTGTCAGACGAGCTGAAGGCTGCGCTGGCCCTGGACCCAACCCCTGACGGTGTTAGATACATCATTGCCACAAAGGTGAGTCTGGGCTAGGGAGACCAGTGTCCAAGGCTCAGGTTCTGCAGGGCTCCCCTCCTGTGGGGAGGCGCTTGGGGACTTACTGGCCGGAGGGGAATCCGCCCTGCTCATAACACTAGTGGCAGCAATAGCAGCAGCAGCCTGGAAGCAGTAGTAGTTCCTCTTTTTCGCTTTCAGAGTTTCAGATAGAATGCAGTGTGTTCACACCCTTGCTCAGACCCACCTCGAGGGGCAGCATCCCAGGTGCTGGGAGGGAGGGACGTGATGAGAAGGTAGACATGGGTGTGTCCCTGGGGAGGGACAGACTTGGGGACAGCAGGCAAGGAGGCCGCTTACTGGAACGAGTAGTTTCCAGGATGCAGTAGTTTCCAGGATGTGGCTGGGAGCCCTTGGGGCTCCCTGTGACTTGTTCTCTATCCCTGGGTCTGGGTGAGGGAGGCAGGTGACCAGTGCTAGCCCAGGAGCAAGGAGCTCACAGCAGGGAAGGGGGCATGGCTCTGCTCACAGGAGGTAGCCAAGGGCAGGGGTCACCATCCAGGTGGGGCCCGTCCTCCCTGCTCAGCTTCCTATCAGGACTTACCCTTGAGGGAGGGGCAGCTGGAGGGGGCGGGGCTCTCCTATGTTGCTCTGACAAGTCTCTAACCTGCTCCATAAAGACCTCCCAGCCTCCAAAAGATGGCTGGGGCAGGTGGGATGGGGGTGTTGCCATCACTCTAACCTGACATTGATTTCTCTGCCCCCAGGCGGGGCCGGGGCCTCAAATCCTAGATGACACCCACCTTCACCTCCTGGGTTCTGATGGTCTACCAAAGCCCGCTGCCTGACTGCTCGTCAATGGGCCATTGTCTGGAGCTGGGAGCTGCTGCAGTGGCCGAGTGGGGCTGTGGGCTTCTTGGTGGCCACCTGGCTCTGGATGCTAGGGGGCAAATTGGGGCAGCAGTTTTGCTGGGGGCAGTGAGTGGCCACCTGCAGCCATTGGGATTGAGGTACAGAGACCTGGTGGTGGGGACTGAGCCAACTTGGTATGACCATGGCCCCGTGTGGGGAGCTTGCTGACCCCGTGCTGGGGCCACATGTGCAGCTCTGGACACAGCCGGTCTGTCGCACTGAAACGACAGGACCCAGGTCTCCCAGTAGTGCATGATGGGCACAGTGCAGGGATCAGCCGAGGGTCTCAGGAAACCTCCAAGGCCCCTTTCAAGGCCAGTAGGCTCCCTGCTGAGACTTGGGGCCCTGAGCTTAGGCCCACAAGGAAGAAGCCCTATGGCCTGGAGGGGCTCCACTGCCAGGAGATGTGGGTGGCAGCCCCCCACGGAGGGGAAGGTGGCTGCTGAACCATGGGAGTGGGAAGATTGATGCCAACACGTATGTGAGAGCCACCACCATGCAGCCTGTCAACAAGAATAAACCCAGTGTCACCAACCCCCGGTCTCAGCTCTTTTCATTGGCATCGGGGTTATGGAACTTGCCCAAGGGTCATGGAGCTGGAAAGGCCACAGCACTCCCAGGGGCACTAGGACACAGCAGCACCGCCGGTTCGGACCAGGGGTTCCTTCTTCCCTGGAGGAGGGGACTTGTAACACGTGCTCTATTCTAGGTTGGAAGATAGGTGGATAAAGATCTCACTGTTTAAACCACCCACCTGTATACAGTGAGCTGAAGGTTTAAGTGAAAGTGATGCCGAACTCTCGGCTCGACTGCCACCCCCCTACTTGGGAGGCTTAGCTGTGTGGCTGCCCACCAGCAGGGCCAGAAGGTCCTCGGATCCCAGCGCTGATGCCAGCCAGTACAGCACTGACAGGCATGGGGATGAGGGTGGGGACGTGTCTCAATTCCCAGTCCTTGCACACAGGACAGGCTCAGGTTTTCCTCGGCTGGAGCTTGCAGGGACCCCGAATCCACGGGTCCTCCTTCCCCAGGATTACTGGGGTGCTGCTAATGGTGCTGAGACCCCCTTATTTCTACTGTCAGGTTTAATTGGGCCTCCGCCCACCGGACTTCTCTGGCTTGCCGCTCCTGTGTTCCAAACTTCTGAATACCACAAGAAGAGTCAGCCCTGGGAGAGGTGGGGTTACTTCCCAGTGGGCTGCAGCCACTCCTCGGCTGGCTGAGGCCTCACCCAATTCCTGCCCCTGTGTCCTCATCCCTGTGCCTTCCCCCTGCTGCTCAGGTCTGGGAGCCTGTCCAAGGCTGTGACCCTAAGCAGGGGCCAGGGAGGAGGTGACAGGGTTTTCCCAGTTTGACACACTCTTCCCATGTGACTGTCTTGAGCCACCTCCCAGAGTTGCAGAAGGAAGCACCACAGCCTATGACCCAGCCCCACCCCACCCCACCCCACCACTGCACTAGGCTGGAAGGAAGTGGGGGTCAGGGGCTGGTGGAAACTCTGGTCTCCACTACCAGGCGTCCCCAGGAGCTGCTGTTGTTAGTAACAACCAGACGTGGGGGTTGGGGGGATGGGTTTGGCCAGAAGTTGGGTAGGTTCCCCGTTGCCCTGGTGTGGCTGCCTGTGCGGTCAAGCAGCCGAATAAACCCTTTGAAGCCCTGACATTGCTGGCTCCTCAGTGTGGTGCCCTCAGTCTGATAAGCCCGCTCTGGGACCACCACGGTGAAGCCCTGGGGACTCTGGTGAAAATACAGAGCCACAGCCGCCAGCAGCCGCCTTTGTTACCGCAGCTGGTGATCCTTGAGCAGACGAGTTTGGGAGCCCTGGGTAAACGAGGCCCGTGCATTGCCGGTGCCCGGCGCATAGCGAGCGGTGGACGAATGCTGCGCCGAGAGGCTGAAGGAGGAAGTGGGGCCTCACGGAGGCAAGACCTGAGCGCAGCGGGCTGGCCTGGCCTGTGAAGGGCAGGGAGGCCTGAGCAGAGCTGGGGGCAGCTGGGGCCCCCGACGGCTCAGCACTCCCCTTTGTGCGGGGCTCCGGTGCGCACAGAACCCCGCGCAGGGCGACCCTGGGCGCATGGGCCCCACGTACAGGCGGCTCTCGGTCTCCCTGCTCCGGGTTTGAGCGGTAGAGGGTGGCTCCTGTGGCCACGCCAGAGACCCGGGCCAGGCCCGCCCCCGACCTCAGTTTCCCAACTTGACCAATGGGGGTGTGTCTTGTGTCGGGGGGCGGGGCGAGCGCCGCCGAAACTCAAGGCGGGGCGGGGCGGGGCGGAGTGGAATCTCAGGGCAAGGAGCCGCGGGGCGCAAAGCCTAGCCGCCGCCGCCATGGGGCAGATCGAGTGGGCCATGTGGGCCAACGAGCAGGCGCTGGCGTCCGGCCTGAGTGAGCGCGGGCGGCTGCGGGGTGCTGGCGGGCCTGGGCGGAGACCCTGGAGTGGGGGCCGGGGAAGGGGGGGCCGAGACCCCAGGCTGCAGACCGGCCAAGGGGGTGGAGACGGGGCCAGGGTGAATCTGGGCCGAGGGGAGTCAGAGACCCCCGTTGCGGACCGAGGAAGTGGGCCCCGATCCCCGGGGTGGTGGCTGGAGCTGGAGATGGGGAGTCAGGGGCTTGGGGAGTCCAGAAACCTCGGGCTGCGGGCCAGGCAAGTGGGGGCTGGAGACCCCAGGCTGTGGGCTGGAGAAATGGGTCGGGCTGGAGCTGGGCGCCGGGAGCTGGGGCGTCAGAGACCTTGGGCTGCGGTCGGGGAAGGAGGGGTTCAGGGACCCCAGGTTGCGCCGCAGCGTCTCCCCTGCTGGCCGGTCCGCCCCCTCCACGGCCGTCCCCCGCTCGGACCTCGGTGCCCGGAGAGGAAGTTGCAGAAAGGGGGAAGAGGCGTTTCGGCGCTTGTGGCTTCCGGGGAGTCACCCCAGCCTGGGTTGGGAAAACCCGGCCTGATGACCCGCCCCTGAGACCCCTAACCCCGCCCTGGAGTGGGGTCTGCGGCCCTGGGGTCTAGAGAGGCTGCATCTCCCCGGAATCAGAGCGGGTAGAGAGAGAGGTCCTCTGCCCCTGGTTGGGGGGTTTCACCCCGTGGGGTATTTTATAGGCAGAGGGGCCCCCTGCTCAGCTTGCTCACTGGCTGGAGGCTGTGCTTCTTGGAGCCGTCAGCAGGGCCCCCAGGTCACCCTGGTCAAGGAGCAGGGCCCTGCACCCTGTGTGGTGTTTGGAAGCAGAACCCTCTCGGGACAAGGGTGGCTCAGGAGGGGCGGATGGGACCTTGGTCTGGGGCAAGGAAGCTCCTCTTGCCTCTGGGGACGCTCCTTCCCTCCGGCCCATCAAGCTGCTCCCCAAGGATCTGCTGCTCTTCACCTGCACCCCTGGGACTGAGTGGGCAGGAGGAACTTGGGAAGGGGTGGTGTTGAGGAGGGTCACAACCCCTCATCACTCAATACTCACCTGAGACTCCGCCCTGAGTCACCTGTCACATGGGGGCAGTGCAGTCCCCCCTCCTGGCTGCTAGCACTTTACGATTACATTGGGCATTGGGGCGGGGGGGCCAGCAGTCTGCTCTGTGGCCAGGTGGTCTTCTTCCTTTTGGAGTCTAGAGTGGCTGGGAACTCTGGGTCAGTTTAGACCATACTGCTCCCCTGGAGAGCAGTTCTCCTTCCTGCCACAACTCACCAAGCGTCTCCAGGAAGCAGGTGGTGACAGAGAGACCTGGGTTCTAGTCCTGTTAGTGCAAATGTGGTGGTCACAGCCGCCCATTTAGTACAAGTATTGTGGTTACAGCTACCCGTTTAGTGCAAATATGATGGTCACAGCCACTTGTTTAGTGCAAGTATGTTGGTCACAGCAGCCCCGTTTAGTGCTTCCTTACTGTGCAGCAGGTATTTTCAGTTCTTTCCCTCATCAGTGTCCCCTGCACTGTGAGGTGCCAGACAGGGAAGTCGAGACCTAGAGAAGTTGTAACGTCCATCCCAGTTTGCTGAAGGTCAGTCTCCCGGGGCCCTTCCAGCTCTGCGCTGCAGCCTCTTGCTGACTCCTCATCACGACTCTGTATAAATTGCAGCCACACAGCACTGCACAGTCCTGGCTGAGCCGCATTGTTAGCAACTTCATTAAACAGGCTTCTTTTTATCCTAGAAAAATCCTGTTATATCACTTCCTCACTTAAAACCCTACCGTGACTTCCCATCACATAGAATAAGAGTCAGCTTCGGACCGCTCAGGCCCCTGCCTGCCTTCCCAGCCTCCCCCTCCACCCTGTCCTCCTCTGCCCCTGGCCCTCCCGAGCTTATCTGTGCCCCGGGGCCTTTGCAGATGCTGTCCCTGTCTGGAACATCCTGGTTGTCCTTTCTGGTCCCTTCTCAGCTCAGTGTTGCCTGCTCTGACAAGTCCTTCTGAGCCCCTGGCCACTTCCTGCCATGTCCCCGTCCCAGCTCACCACTCTCCAAGGTTGGTTTCTCTCCCCTCACCAGATGGTAAGCCCCTTGAGGGCACAGGCCTCACCTCATCTCCCTGGCCTACTGCCGAGTCCCCAGCCCCTAGAAGACTGCATGTCATAGGTGCTCTCTAATGTTTGCTGGGGGGCAGACTGAGTCCTCACATCTCCCTATGAAGCCAGTCATGTTGTTGCCCTCCCACTCCACTGATGGCAGGTAGCAAAACTGAGACTCAGGACAAGACAGCCCCAAAGACAACGGTCAACAACGTGCTGATTGAACGCATGAGGAAGTCGTCCTTTACTTTCCAACACACAGAAATGCTGATAAACAAACCAAACAAGTTAATATGTAGCTGAGCTCAAAACAAGTATAAGAAATCTGCAAGGAACAGAGCTAAGTGAGGCTTTAGGATGGTGAGCAGGGCTGAAGTTGGGACACCCAGGAATCTGGGCCACAGAGGGCCCAGACTTTGACCCTGTGGGTGTCAGGGCCTCCAGTGGGAAGGGGGCTGAGCTGGGCTTCATGCTGGAGGCCAGAAGGGCCACCTCTACATGGAACAGACTAGACAAACCTCCCCCAGCCCCCGGAAGCAGCAGAGTTCTCTGCCTGTCAGGGTTCTGGGTGGGAAAAAGTTACAAGACAACAACCCCGGAAACTGAGGCCTATGCTGTGCGTGCTGTGAGGGCTGATTTGTCCTGCCCTTGCCAAGGACTCCTGACCAAGACACTGAGATAAACCAGATTCAGGACCACAGAGGCACAGGTGAAGGCTCCGTTCACCCAGGTTAAGAGGGACAAGGTAAACAACACTTGGAGAAACAGCAGACAAATCTAGAATGTGGGGCAATGCACAAGACGTTTTAAAAAGTCCAAAAAACCAAACCAGTTGCCATGGAGTCGATTCCGACTCATGGTGTCCCCATGTGTGTCAGAGTAGAACTGTGTTCCATAGAGTTTTCAATGGCTGGTTTTTCAGGAGCAGATTACCAGGCCTTTCTTTCTTCTGAGACACCTCTAGGTGGACTCGAATGCCCAACCTTTCGGCTAGCAGCCGAGTGCATGAACCATTTGCACCACCCAGGGACTCCTGTAAATTGTGGTCTGTTCATACAACAGAGTGCAACTCAATAAAAAAAAGAACAAGCTGGCCCACAGCAGGATCAATGCAGAGTGAAGGAAGTCAGAGGAATATTCCATCGCTGACTGGAAAGGGACACAAGGGGATGTCCTGGTTTGGTTAGAGGTCACGGTGGGGGTGGGGGTGCGAATGTGTGAAAAGTCATCAAGCTTACGTGTGTATGTTTGACTGTGTGTAATTGTACCTCAGTAAGTTACTAGGGGAAACCCTGGTGCCACAGTGGTTAAGAGCTATGGCTACTAACCAAAAGGTCAGCAGTTCGAATCCACCAGGCACTCCTTGGAAACCATATGGGGCAGTTCTCTGTCCTGTACGGTCACTATGAGTCGGAATCGACTCAATGGCAAGGGGTTTTTTGGTTTAGAAGTTACTAGGAGGGGGATGTAGAGATAAGTGCTTACAAGAGGCACACACGAAGCAAGACCACACAGAGTTAAAAATAAAGGGATGGAGAATCTAACAAATACGAACCAAAAGGTGTAGAAAGATCAATGTTGTTAGTCGCTGTCGAGTTGGTTCTGACTCGTGGCAACCCCGTGTGTGCAGAGTAGAACTCCATAGGGTTTTCAAGGCTGTAACCTTTTGGAAGAAGATGGCCAGGCCTGTCTTCTGATCTACCTCTGGGTGGGTTCAAACTGCCAACCTTTCAGCTAGTAGTTGAGTGCTTAACTGTTTGCACCACCCAGGGACCTTCAGAAATATCAATAGCAGGTAAAATTTCAGTTAAGGTGAAAACAGGGATAGGAACAAACAACACCATGTAATAAAAAGGAGCGATCCACCAAGAAGATACAGAAATCAACATCAACAATATAGACTTTGCATAAAGCAAAGACTCAGAATTTCAAGTCTACAGTCGGGGTCACAGCTTGAGGCGGACATGTGCAGTGTGGAACCTAAGCTCCCACACTCTGGACTAGCAGCTCCTGGGCCCCAACCCCCTTCCTTACCTGGTCATCTGCCTCTCAGCCACCTCCCCGCTTCACCAGTGAATATTGGCTTGATCCTTAGTTCTCAACTCAAATGTCACCTCCTGGGGGAAGGCGTCCCAGACTTCCTTAACTAAAGCTGTCCCCCATTATCTACCAGAGGTCTGCACCCGCCTGGGTCCCCCTTCCTGGCCAGAGGTCAGCAAACATGTAGACGGAATGGAAGACAGCTCTGTGGTGGACTGGTGGCCCTGCAGTAGGAAGAAGGCACTCTACACTCCGGCCGCTCTGTCAGGAGCCGCCTACTAACCTGCTTCTCCTCTGCCCACAGTTCTCATCACTGGAGGAATTGTGGCCACCGCCGGCCAGTTCACCCAGTGGTACTTTGGAGCATACTCCATGTATCCTTGTCTGCAGCTGCCACCCCCAGCATGGGTGGTCAGGGTGGGTGGGAACTGGATGTGGGCAGTGGGAGCTGGGCTCCACCAAGGGCACAGGCAGTGGACCTTGGTGGGTGATGCCACTGCCCCCGTGGGCATGGCACTTCATAGTTTGCAGAGTGTTCTTCATGCCTGTTCTGCTTGGAGTCACAACTCGGGGGACGTCAGGGCCCACTTTGCAGTGTGGGAAGCCGGGCCCAGAGCAGCAACGGGACCTGCCCGTATTCACGCAGGCCTAACGAAGCCCTCCCCAACCCATGCCTGGTGAGTGGGTCTTGGGGTTGTCGGCCCCCGAAGGCAGGCACTGGGGCCTCCCACCTGGCCCAGGTTGGAGGGTGTCTCTGGCTGGCCCAGGCCTTGACTCAGAGCAGGCTGGCCGCTGTTCTCCCCCGCCCTGCCGGCCCAGCCATTATAGCCCCTGAAGAAGAAGCCAGAGGCAGGCTGAGGGGCGGCAGGGCTCAGGACGAGGGGTGAAGGTCAGACCTGTGTTCTGGCTGTGTGACCTCGGGCTGTGGCTGTACCTCTCTGAGCCTCTCAGGTCTCCAAGGGCAAATGGGGCTTGTCATGGCCCCCAGGGCTGGGCTGTTCCTTAACCAAGTACTTAGTGCAGCAGGAGTCCTTGTCTGCCTGCTGGAGTACCCCCGGGGGAAGAGGAAGAAAGGCTCCACTATGGAGCGCTGGTGAGTCCACCTCCCTGTGCAGGGTATATCAGGGGTCCACCTGGGGGTCCTGGGATCCATCCACGAGTCCTGGGGACCCATTACAGGATCCTGGGGGTCCTGGGGTCCATTTAGGGTTACTGGGGTTCATTCTGGGGGTTCTGGGTCCATGCTGGGGATGCAGGGCCCAAGCAGAACTCACAGGGGCAGAGCACTTTGCCAGTAGCCCCTGCAGGAGCCTAGTCCCTTCACTTTGAGGCTCCAGGCACCAACCCATTCTTTCTCCTGGGCAAACTGAGGCCAGATGCCTACCCAGCTTCTGTCCCATGGTTCCTGGGATGAAAGAGGCTGGGGGGCCCTGGTGAGGGGCCGGGGGAGTCCTGAGTGGAACAGGTACAGACCCCACTGTCTGTCCCCTGGCCCTCCCCTCTACCTAGTGGACAGAAGTATATGACGTCTGTGGTGAAGATGTTTGGGCCCCTCACCAGGAATTACTACATCCGGGCCTTCCTGCACCTTGTGTGAGTCCCCACCTCTGCCCCATGCCCGGCTCTAGGAGGTCTTGGAGTAGGCCCTCCTTGCTGGCCTGGTGGCCTGGGTAGGAGACCTTGGGCCAAGTCAGATCCCTTCCCTGCCTGGATGTTTTTCCAGACAAAAACCCAGAACTCAGACTCCAGCAGAGGTTCCCAAAATCTGTGTCAGTTATCTGTTGCTGCATAACAATTCACCAAACCTCAGTAGCTTAAAACACTACCAGCCAAGGTTCTGGGGTTGGCTGGACTCAGCTGGGTGGTTCTCAGTTCTGGGGTTGCCTGGGTTCAGCTGGGCAATTTTTGCTGGTGGGTGGGCTGTCATGTGGCTACAGCCTTGAAGGCTTCCTTACTCATATGCTAGGCGGTTAATGCTGGTCTGAGGCCCAAACACCCACACGGGGCCTCTTCACAGCTACTTGGGCTTCCTCCCAACGTGGTGGCTGGGTTCCAAGCACTAGTGTCTTGCAAGGTACAAATCAAGGCAGAGAACAGCTCAAGGGGCCAAAACTGAGAAGCCAAACCTTGGCAGGGCTGGATATTCCCTTAGTCTGGGGTCCCATGGGACAGCATATTTCTACTTCATTGTGTCCGGAGATCTCTTGGCCTCTGCCCCAGAATCGGGGATTCCAGCCTCTTTCTGACTGCCCTTTCTGATGTCCCCTGCCCCAGGCTGTCTGTGCCTGCAGGCTTCCTGCTTGCCACCATTCTCGGGACTGCCTGCTTGGCCATCGCAAGTGGCATCTACCTGCTGGTGAGTGATGTCTTCCTGCAGCTAGCCCCCCAGCCAACCCACCCCTGGCCCTTGACAGCCTCAACCTCTCAGCTGCTCTGCAGGCTGAGCCAAAGTCCACCAGGGAGGTCTTGAGGTCCTTGCTGGAGCAAACAGCGTTCTGCGTGTTTGCTCATGTCCTGGTGAAGACAGTCTTGAACATCTAAGTTGTGCTGGACCCTTCCCCGTGTTTCCTCATTCAGTATGCACCTGCAAGGTGGGTGCTGAGCCCCACTGTACAGATGAAGACGTGGAAGTGCAGGGATGCGTGAGGCTCACCCGGGGTCACACAGCCAGCCAGGGGCCCAGCCTGGGTTTGGATCCACTTTATCAGGCTCTTTATTCATCTAGACCATTTTTTCTCCAACACTGGGGACAGGTGTCAGGACCTCCTTGGGGAACTTGTTAGCAACACAGACGCAGACAGTTGAGCTTGCCTGAGACTTATGGAAATGGCCTCACTTTATGAGAAAGCCTGTGTGATAAAGCCATCTTCATAAAACGACAAGAATGGATGAGTGACCGTGGTCACCTCTGGGCGAGGCCGGAGGACATGGGCCGGGGAAGCACAGGAGTCCCTGGCTCGGAGCGAAGTGTTGGGGTTTTCCCAGGACGCCAGGGCAGAGAGGGGTGTCAGAGCCCCTTCATTGTGAGTTGATTTGTCCCCTTTTATCCCCAGAGCCCACTCCCCACCCTGACACCTGAGGCAGCTGTTCTCATATCTGATGTGCATCTTTTATTTTCTCTGCTTTCTTAGGAAATGTGCAGTATCTTTTGTGTATGCTTTGTGTTTATGTAAATGGAGTTGTGTTTCAAGTGTCGGTAACTTCCGCACATGTCTCCCCACTCTCTGCTTTTCAATTCCTTACCGTTGCTGTGCACACCCACTCTGTTATTCTAGCATCCGTGGAGCCCTCCACATCTTACCTCTGCACCCTCCCTTGACCACTCCGTTGCCTCTGTCTCTCCACGGCCACATGCAGCCCGTCCCTTTGCAGACCTAAGTGCGAATATCCTTGGGTTAAGCCCAGAGCGGAATTGCTGAGTCGGCTCAGGCTCTGCAGCATTTGTTGTGTGATGTCAGCTGGTGCTCCAGGCCCCACGCACAGGTCTGTCACCCACCCCATCCATCATACTCAGCCTTCTCCAGCTTTCCACAGCTTTGGCAGTTTACCAGGCATGAGGCTGACAGGGTGGGGTAATTTTGACTTGCATTTCTCTGATAAGTTACAACGTGTGCACTTCTTCATGTGCTGTAGCATCTGCATTCATCTTCTCTAAGTTGCCTGCTCATAGTCTTGGCCCATCCTTCTATGGGCCTTCCTGCCTTTTGCTTGTTGACAGGCAGGGATCCTGTGTACATGTTAGCTATTAATCCCTTGTGGGATTTAGACATTGTATGTCTCTTCTCCCTTTCTGTTAAGGGTCAGCTAACTTTGTCCATGAAGGTCTTCCTTGAACAGAAGAACAGAAGTTTGTCTATTTATTTGTTTTATGATTCGTGCTTTTTAAGAAAGTCTTTCCCTGCCCCTACATCATTAAGATATGTTCTTACATTTTCTTCTATCAACTTCATTCAAGGTAGAATGTTCTAGCTTTTATGTTAGGTGGTGGAGTCACAGATGTTCACTTTATTATCACAATCGATAGCATATATAAAGACCTGAAAAACCTAACCCATTGCCTTTGAGTCGATTCTGACTCACAGCGACCCTATAGGACAGAGTTGAACTGTCCCATAGGATTTCTAAGACTGTAATCTTTATAGAAACAGACTGTTGCATCTTTCTGAGCAGCTAGTGGGTTCGAACCTCGACCTTACGGTTAGCAGCAGAGCACTTAACTGTACCACCCTTGCTCCTTAAGTGCATATGTTACATATTTTTGTATGGATCAAATATTATGGATACATATTTAAAATACCCATTCCCAGGTCCCCAGCCTGTTGAATTGGAGCCTCTGGTTATGGGGCCCAGGAATCTGCATTTTTAGTGAGCCCCTCCCCTCCTCCCCGGAAGTAGAACCACTGTGGAGCTCTTCACTGCCCCTGCAAACAGGTGTGGAGAGTCTTTTTTTTTTTTTTTTGTAGTTGTAGTTTAAATGAAGTTTACATTTCAAGTTAGTCTGCAGGCACAGAGAGTCTTATGTGCAGAAATGCCAGGGCATCCGGAGGGTCCAGGCCGGGGCGGGTACAGGGTGAATGGGGGCCACCCACCAGGGCAGAAGGGGGCCCTGTGCTCCCTGGTTGCCCCCCACCCCCATCCCTCCCTGTGAGCTGGCCCATAATTCATGGAAACCCGGCCTGGCCTCCCTGTGGCTCCGACCATAGTCCGCTGTGACAAGACCTGGGAACCCCGTGGGCCTTGGGATATGCACCAGGAAGTGGCCTCCAGGGCTCTCCCGGAAACTCGCCGCCTTCCCACCTGCCCCCTACACCCCATGTGAAAGAGCCTGGCTATGGGGTCAGGACACCCAGTCCGACTGTGTGGCCCTGGGCATGTCATTCAACCTCTCTGAGCCTCAGGTCCTTCATCTCTGGTGCACCCAAGTACGGGCAGGAGTGGACAGGTGACCATGGAGGGTGGGCAAGGAGAGGCTCCCAGTGTGCCCCTCCCCCACAGGCGGCCATCCGCGGGGAGCAGTGGACCCCCATTGAGCAGAAGCCGCAGGAGCGGCCGCAGGTGGGCGGAACCATCAAGCAGCCACCCAGCAACCCCCCGCCCCGGCCCCCGGCCGAGGCCCGTAAGAAGCCAAGCGAGGAAAAGGAGGAGGACACGGCAGCTGGAGGCTCCCCGGGCGGCGCCCAGACTAACCCCCTCCCTGTGACCGACGAGGTTGTGTGACTTCCCCCGCGCGGCCACCAGGCGGCGCCCGCAGTATCTGACAATAAACGGAATGAACACATGGCGGGGCGTGGGCGTCTTTCTTCTTAGGGGCTGGGCGGGTGCGCACCTAGGATTGTCTGCCGAAGCTCCGCAGTGCCCCCCCCCCCACTTTTCTGCCTTAGCAGAACCACACGCTGTTTCCGTTTCATTAGCAGCGGTTTCCTCCTCAATGGCACATAAAATTAAATGCTCCGTATATTCTATGAAATGCAGTATCGGGGATTCCAAGTGTTTGATGAATTTCTATTCTAAATTTACTTTCCTGGCTTAGGAGGGGAGCCCTGGTGGCGCAGTGATTAAGATCTCGGTTGTTCACCAAAATTCTGCAGTTCGAATCCACCAGCCGCTCCTCAGAACAGCAACGAGATTCTTTTTTTTTTGGCCTGGGAGTCGTGAGCTTCGCTTCCCAGCTCCCCAGACCCGGTCAAGACACACCCTCCCAGGGCATCCCTGCCACCACCGGAAAGGCCTGGGTTCCAGAATTTTCCAGCGGCTGAATGAAGAGAGAGAGTAGGAGAGGGGTGTGGGCAAAGCAGGTGAGTCCAGGAGCAGCCCAGGTGGCCTTCTACTTCTTTGTCTCTTGCAAAAGCACCTGGTGAGGCTTGTTGGAGGCAACCCTTGTCTGCCCACATACTGGCTGGGTGCCTTCCAGGGCCCCCCAGCATCAGGCCTGCCCTCCTCCCACTCTGTCCTCAGGCTACCAAAAAAAAGCCTCCTTGGCCATGGAGGGGTCCAGGCTGGGTCCCCTGGGCTCTAGCTTGCCCTTCTCCAGCCAGAAGCCCCCTTCATAGATGCCCTCCACACACACGCAGTGTTTGTCTTCAGCTCACTCCCCCCTACCCAGCCTGGGGTGCCCTTTTCTCCTCCACGGGCCCTCCTGTGGCCCTCTCGCAGCCTGGAACATTCCTTAAGCCCTTTACCTCCTGTTTGCCCCACATGCTCTCAGAAATCACACTCTCAGAAGTAGAGGACCCTCTCATGGCTGGGGGTGGTGGAGGGGGATCTTGACCCTGCCAGCCTCAACTCCCCACTGCACCAAAGTCTAAGTCCAGCCCTGTCCTAGTCACAGGGACTCCATCCTTCCAGAAGACCAGCAGGAGCCTCAGATCCTGGACTCCCCCTCCTTACCTGTTCCCCTCCTCCTCTCCTGTCTCAGTCTTCAATATAAATCACTGAGGCCCCTCTTCTTACCCCACGCTCTGCCTAGACATGGCAGTGCTCCTGCCCCATTGTGCCAAGCCCTGTGCCAGGCCAGCCTGTGTTTCTCTGCCCAGAACCACAAAGGCTCGATTCCCTCCAGCACTCAAGGGCCCCAGGACAGATGTGCTCTGTGCCCCAGTGCCCACTACTCTGACCCCACCTTACCCTTCCGGCTCACTGATGCTGCCGCGCAGGGCCTTTGCACCAGCTATTCCCTCAGCCCAGAGCTCTGTCTGGTCACCACGTGGCTCCCTCCTTGCCATGCTCCCTCCTCAAAGGTCTCTGCTCAGATATCCCCAGGGAACCCCCCCACCCCACCCTGCTCTTTGGTCCGGCAGCCCCTTTCCACGCTGCATCTGGCCTCCCTGTCCTTACTGCTCCCCATCCGCAGACCAAGCCCTTTTCAGGCCTTCTCTGTGCTATCAGCCACCGCTGGAATGGGTGGGTTTGGCCTGATTTGCTCACTCACTGTTCCCAAAGCCGAGAGCAGGGCCAGGCACGTCACAGGGACTTAATCCCCATAAGCAGAACTAGTAACACTCCCAGCTCCTGTGGGCCGCTCTCCCTGGAGCACTGATCCATCGGGGACACTGAGGCTCCCTGGCCAGGTCCCCTTCTGCCATTGTTGGACTGCTTTCTCCTGGGCCCTTAACTAAGTGCCCCCCGCCATAATCATGCCCGCCCAGATGGGCTCCAGCCTGGGACATTCCACGGGGGTGTCCCAGTGGGTGTTATCCTGGCAGCTCCCCACGGAGGGCAAGAGCCCTGGAACAGCTGGCCGGGGACTGCCTGACTTTTGCTGGGCTTGAGAGCAGGGCTGGGACGCCCTCTGAGGAGAGCTTGGCAAACCCAGGCATACATCTTCCCAGCAGGCAGTCCTTGGGGCGGAGACACAGTCCCATAGGTGGAGGGCCTCATGGACTGTCTAGCAGCATCTCCCAGGTGTGACTAGGTGGGGCAGATGCTCCCACTCGTCCCCCACTCTGACTGCTTTTGCCCCTTAGAGCACAGAACTTTCTGGAAGCACAGCTGGAATCTGGGGCTGGTGGCCAGGTGGTGAGGGCCGGGGTGAGGGTGAGAGAGGAGCTTTCCTCACCAAATGTCCTTTTATGCCATCAAATGACTTCTGGGGATGAATTTAATTACACACAAATTTAAAATAAATAAAAATAGTTTATTAAGAAAATAGAGGGGTGCCTTTCCTCTTGCAGGGGGCTGAAAGGAGGGAGCCAGAGATCTGGAAACAGGGCCCTATCCTAACGCTTTTTGTTGTTGTCCTTCCAGCCCACTTGTCTGCTTTTACAAAAGCGTAAACTGACACTGGAAATGGAGTGACAGCAGGGTCACAGCGCAGGCACCCGACACGGGTCTTTGCCACTTCCATCACTGCGGACGTTGGAAAAGTGTCGGGGATCCCCAAGGCAGCGGCAGGTGGCCCGCAGGCGGCGGGGCACACCCCAGGCTCACATAAATAACCAATAAATACGCATAAATAGGAGCAAGGGATTGGGGAAGGGAGCTCAGTGTCCAGCACGGGGAGGGTCTCAGCCCGTTGCTTGGACGCTCATAGCCAAGGCGGTCACCGCGTCGACCTGGGCAGCACGCAGGTGCAGCCGACGGGCACGCGGATGAACTCGGTGTGGAAGGTGACGGCCCCGGGCTGGGGGACGCCCGCACCGTCGGGGGCGCATGGGCGGCGCTTCAGCACCAACAGGCTCTGGTGCAGCTGCACAGAATTGAGCGCAGTCGTCTCGCGGCCAGTGCGCGCGCTGATGCAACCCCGGCACAAACACTCGGCGAAGGCCAGCTTCTGCGGGTAGCGGTTCTCGTCGGTGTCGATGCTGCGGGCGGCGGTACCGCAGGGGTGAGTCTGCGCTCGGGCACCGGGTACCCACACCTCCCTCTGCCACTGCCCATGGAGCCCCCATTTTGCCCCCAAGCGTCAAGGAATCAGGGGCTGAGGAGAAGACTGCACCGAGGATATTGTGGGCCACAGGAAGGGCTTCTTTAGTGCAAGGCTTGGCATACAGTTGGTGCCCCATACATGGCCCTGGTTACCCAGGTCTCCCCACTGCCCTCCCAGAGCACAGAAGCAGGGCAGAGAGCTTTCAGGAGCCTCCCCTTCTTCCCCATCAGGCCCAGTCTGGTCCCCAGGCTCAAATGGGGCACCCAGAATTTTCCCGAAGGACCCTAGGCTGAGATATGGGGGGCAGCAAGAAGGAGGGAGGCAGCAGAAGGGTGGCCTCAGCCAGTGGAGCCTGGGTTTCCCCGGGCAGTTGGGCTGGGTGGGTAGTGGGGCGGGGGGGAGGTGGTCAGGATTATTAACCCATTTTACAGGTGAGAAAACAGGCGCACAGAGCCTTCGGGAAGCCAGTGCCTTAGAGAGGGGCAGGACTGCTGCTCACCGGTATCTCCATGGTGAGATGGAGCGCTGGTGGATCTCCGCTTCTAACACCTGCTCAGGTCGAAGCACTGGGCACTGGGTGTCAGCCAGGGACCTGTCATGCCGCTTCCTGCGGCCTGCCACCTCCAGGCTGGACACCAGTGTCACAGGTAAAGCCTGCTCCCACCTGGCGCCACGAGGCAGCAGGTGTCTGGGGGGCTGGCCCAGGGGCAGCTCGTCGGCTGAGTAGCAGCGCCTGGTCTCATGGGTGTGGGGCCCCTTCCAGAGTGGGGTGCCGTGGTGGGCCAGGCTGGTGGGTAGCCAGAGCAGAAGCAGGAGGCCTAGGAGGTGCTGGCGGAGCAAACGGCGGCTATCAGGGGTGCCCAGTCAAGGCACTTCACTCCCACCCCAACTTGCCCCGTGCCCCTGGAAAGATGGCCTCCAGACCCTCCTCTGACAAATGACAATGAGGCCCAGAGGGGCGAGCCCCTCTCCCCAAGACACCCAGCGCACCAGAGATCCTGGCTCCTGGGTAGGGGGCTGACTCCCTACCTCCTGAAGATTTGTTGGGCTTCTCGGCCCCCATCCCAAACCCTCAGCCTGGGGTCAGTGAACTCCCAGCCCTTTAGGGCCAGGCACGCCCTGCCTAGGTGGGAGCCAGGTGCTGACGCGAGCTCACCATCGTAGTGTGTGTCTCCAGTGCCCGGGATACGGCAGTGGTGGCGGCAGCGGCAGCAGCGGTGGCTGGGCTTGGAGCAAGCACACCTGGTGACGGACCTCGTGGCTGCAGTGCGCGGTGCCCTTTATACCTAGGGCCACACCTGGGGAAAATCCGGGTGCTGCACCGCTTCCTCCTGGGGAACTGCCCAGCCACGGGCTTCCTCTCCTGACTGTCCCCTCCCCAGGAGGCCAGGTGCCCACCCCTACTCCATCCCCTCAGCCTGCTGAAGAAATGAACACCAGGGACCCACATAAAGCCTGGTGCAGCCGCCAGTCCTGCCACCCCTCCCCCATCCAGAAGGACCCCTACCCCAGGTGCGCTATTCCACCTGCACAAGGCACCATAAATGGGGCCTGTTTTCCTGATGTTCTAGAATTGTCTGTGAAAGAGGTTTCAGTCCAAGTACCCTTTGCAACTTGCTCCTGTATTTACCGTTTTCGTGTTTGCTCCTTGGCCCTATGGCCAGAGACCTGCGTGCATCCCTCTTCGCTGCCGTGCAGCCCTTCACGCGGCTCTGCTCCAGCTGTGGATGTGAGGGTCTTCGAGTCTCCCTGTTCTCCATCTGAGATGCAGACGCTATGGAGGGCATGCCAAGGCCCTGGAAACTGTAAAGTGCCTGCACCATCACCATAAGATGCTTTATTTAAGGAGGTCCCCCCAGCACAGCTGGCTTGGGGGTAACATTGTCATCCCTAAAAGGAAACAGTTTGGAGCC